TTTTTTTTTTTGTATTTGTATTTTTACCGGTACCAGGGATCGAACTCATGACTGCCTGCTTGCAAGGCAGGCGCTTATGTCACTGAGCTAAATCCCCAGCCCCCCTTACTCTTATCTTCCAATTGTTTGCTGGCAATCTCCAATGCTCTTTGATTTGTGGCCACATCATTCTAATCTCGCCCAGGCAAAAGAAAAGAGATTCGTTTAGCCCACAGTTCTGGAGGTTCTGAGTACAAACAGCATGATGACAGCTCAGGCGAGGACCCCCTGGCCACATCGAATCATGGCAGCTTGCATCATGGCATCAGTGCATGCAAGAAAAAGAGACCATAGGGTGAAACAGGAATCAGAGAGTGGGGAGCAGTCTTTCTCTTTCATAGCAATCCTCTCTTGAGAACTAACTAACTAGGGTCCTACGGGAAACAATTCTTTCTGAGGGCACAGCACCCAGCGAGCTAATGACCTCCCACTAGGCCTGACCTCTAAAAGGCCCTGTTACATTTGCATATTTTCACACTGGGAGACCAACTGGATAGCACAGAAATTCCTAGAGGATACACTTAAACCACATTCAAACTATCTACTCATCTTTAATTCAAAACCTCTTCTATGTGAAGTGATAGAGTCCCAGGTTCCAGAAATTGGGATGTGAACATTTTTAGGGGACCCGTAGTCTGCCTAATAGAGCTTTATTATCTCTGAGTTTCATTTCCAAATGAATAGTAAAGAGGAATTACACATTATACGCTCTGAAAAGGGAACTGTGCATTGCTAAAATTCTCTTACCTTCCCCTTCCTAAACTGTCCTGGATAAACTCTCCTGTTTTACCTGGATTCTAAAGCAGAGAAATAGGGGTTTGTATAGTAGCATCACCACATCGTAGTTCTGTGACCTTGTTCAAGTGTCTTAACTACTCTGTGTATTTCATCATTCACGAACAGAGAATCATAACAGAGCAACAGGGATGAATACATCTAAATCAGTCCAGCAGGGAAGGAGCACAGGGTAGGCCCGGTCATTACCACCAATGGGGAGAGGTTACAGGAGTGTAGAGAAAGGGTGTTTGACCCCTTGGAGTTAGGGAAGGCTTCTGGAGGTGACCCTGGAATGTGAGAGAGGGACTTCTGCCTCTTAATAAACCACATCCCCAACACATTTGCAAAGCATTTTTCAGAGTGTCTAAAAGCCTGACATGGTAGTGCACACCTGTAATCCCAGCTCTCCGGAGTCTGAGGCAGGAGGATGGCCATGCATTCAAGGCCAGCCTGGATTATGTAGTGAGTTCAAAGCTGGCCTGAACCATACACGGAGACCCTGTCTCAAAGCCAAAGCAAACCTGAGCTGAAGCTGCAAGAAGCTGCAAAGATAATGTCAAACATGATTAAATAAGATGCGAGTTTTGAAAAAGGATGACAGCTGACCAAAAGGGCTCCACTGGAGGCTAGCAGCCTTAGGAGCTGCCCCTCCTCCTGTCCTCCGGCCCTCAGGAAAGAGCACTGGCTGAGACCTGGGGCCTCTCACTTCTCCTTTCCCCTCCCCACTGTTTGAAGGTCACCAGACCCAAGCCACAAGCTGTCTACACGGAAGGCAGAAGGCTTTAAGAATGATCAAACTTCTGAATCAAGATAGAATCCAATCCCAGCACTTGGGAGACTTGAAGCAGGGGGATTGCCACCAATTCCAGGTCAGCGTGGGCTATAAAGTGAGTTCAAGGGCAACCAGAGCTGCATAGTGAAACCCTGTCACAAAAAAAAAAAAAGAAAAGAAAGAGGAAAAAAAAATCAAGGCAAGATGAATAATAAAATTGTTTTGCTGAGCCATATTTGAGGCTGAGGTGACAGGAAAATCTAGTTAATGCAGTACTGATGCCAGTGATTTTGATTTTTTTTGTTGTTGTTGTTCCCTGTGGATTTTTTTTTTTTTTGCATTTATTTTGGTAACCTAAAATACTGTTAGATTTAATTAATTAAATTTGCAGTTGAAAGAGGGTCTTGCCATGTAGTTCAGGCTGGCCCTGAAATTACTGTGTAGTCCAGGTTGGCCTCGAATTCAAAGTACTTCTTGCCTCAGCCTCCTGGGTGCAGGAATTATAGATGCGCACCATCCTATCAGGCTTAGATTTAATTAACATTACTTCTCTCTGTCACTGAGTGTTTTGAGGCATTCCCTTATATTTTGCACCCTCATCCTGATCCCAGTCCTATCCCTGAGGCTTTTCTTAGGAACCTCTGCTGGCTCTATGATAAGGGTGCACAGGATAAAAAAAACTCATGGGTCATGACAACACAGTGACATTTGCTATGTGTTTGGGGGTAGGAGAAGGGAATACTTACTTCATGCTGGAAAAGACAGCATCTAGGGGCTTTTAGAGGTGGTGTCTGCCAGCAGTCAGCTGTGGGAAACACAAGGGGCCCCCAGCTAGAATTGAAAAGAGGTACAGCTGGCCTCCAGAATGGTGGGGGGTGGCAGGAGACACAGGCAGCAGCAGGAGGGGGATTAGGATTAGTGCCATGCACTGGAAGGATGAGATATGGGTGGGAATTTCCTGAGAAAGCAGACCCTGGTGTGCATAGGTAGAGTTTCTCAAATGGCAGTCCCTAAACTAGGCCTATCAGCACCATGTGGAAACTTGTTAGATTTGTAAATTTTCCACCTCCACTTATAACCTAGAAAATCTGAAATTTGGAAGGGTGGGGCGTAGAGGTCTCAAAACCTCAAATTTGAGAACTCACATAAAGCAGACATAAAAGAAACCACAATAAAGTCACGTGCATTGCTGTATGCAAAAACTGGAACACAGTTGCCTGGGAGCAGGTGGGGAATTTAAGAAGCCAGTGCCTGTTGATAACGAATGTGACTGGGTTTGAGAAGTGAGGTATTTTCTATTTGTCTTACATTTGACATTTTGAAGATTGTGCTAAAAACTTATGGCCATCTGTCTGCAGAAAACACGACTACAAATACAAGTGTGTCATCTCCACTACTGTTAGCAGAGGTGTTAACATCAAGAACTTCCTTTTCCCAGCCGGGCATGTTGGTGCACAACTGTAATCCCAGCACTAGGGAGGCCGAGGCGAGAGGACTGCTGTACTTAGAGGCCAGCCTGAGCTATGCAGTAGTTCAAGGTCAGCTGAACTACATAGTGAGACCCTGTTTCAAAGGAAGACACACATCCCCCACAAGAAACCTTCCTTTTCTCTAATGTTGCAAACCTCTTGGCAAAAGAGTTCTCAAAACAAATGTGTATTTTCCCTCATTTCGATAGTGTTGTATTTCTGAAAGTTCAGTGGAAAATATTTTTGCTTTGATGTAGGAAGTGGAATTAGGTTCCAGCTTCAGATCATTATAAACAAGTTTTTTGCCAGATAGGTGTCTTGCAAGAATGAACCATTATTCGGGGAAGACTTTCCAGTGCACTGCAGAACATTTAGCATGCCTGGTTCCTCCCCTCAAATTAGGAAGTCAACCCAAAAAAAACCCCAAACAAACAAACAAACAAACAACGGTCCCGCAGATACTGGCCTCCCCAATTCCCACTCCTAGGGACTAGAGTGCCTCCACTGAAATTTCTTTGAGTTAAATAGTGCTGGAATTACAGAGCAGGTCACAGCCCCAGGACCTGAGGAAGACAGAGAGAAGGCTGCAGAAGGCTGTGTGCAAGTCCAGTGGGGCAGTTTGATGGTGAAACCATTTGCTAAACTGGGGAGCAAGATTGGAGCTCTGTGTTGTGAAGGGCTTGGATACATGTAGAGATGTGGGAGGTGTTTTGGGTGAAAAGCTTCCTGTTACCATATCAAGGAGTAATATTATAGACAGCTAAATTAGGTAAAAATATTATAGGCAGCCAGACAGGGCTGGGCGCTTGAGGCAGTCAGTACAGAGTATCAGAATGCATTACAACTGTGGCTAGAGGCACATCCATTAAATGCCAGGGCTCAAGATAAAGACAGAATGACCAGACCTACATGCCTCCCCAAGGGATAAGCAATATTCTATAAATAGTATCACCTGGTCCAATAAAGACTAGATAGACATCAGTCACTCAGGTGGGTGACCAGGACCTCTTGATTCATCTCTTCCAAAAAAAGGTCTGTGTTCTTTCCATGGATGTGATTTGCTACGACTTGCTTTCACATTAGCTCCATATTACCTAAGCGACTATACTTATAATCTTATTCGCTGATTACAGGTTTGGTTTTTTTTGTTTTTGTTTTTGTTTTTGTTTTGAAACAGGATCCCACCATGTAGTTCAGGAGGCAGGCTGGCGTCAGGCTCACTGTGTAGCCCAAACTGACCTTGAACTTGCAGTGATCCTCCTGCCTCAATTGGTCAGTTTTGTGTCACGTTATTCTCATCTCGGTATCTCGGTAATTCTGCTGAAACTCGGACCCCCTCCTGTCTCTCAGGAGCTATCTCTCCCAATAAAGTTCTATTCTTTTTTTTTTAATGGGTTCCGGGGATTGAACTCACGATGACACACTTGCAAGGCAGGAGCTTATGTCCCTGAGCTAAATCCCCAGCCACTAAAGTTCTATTCTTAACCTTCCGTGTTCCTTAAAATTCATTCTTCGATTTTGGGGAGCACGAACTTGGTGTATCTGAGGGCCTGCGGATTGAAAGTGATAATAGTGCCCTATATCATTTAGAGTTCCTGTATTAGTACCAGCTTCTTAGCACCTCGCTCCCTGAGTCTTCACTCCCACGCCAGGCACTTCTCCCCTGGCCTACAGCAAACCCTCTCCTGCCTCAAAGTCCCTTGTCCTTTAGGATCAGACCTTGACTTTTACCACTTCCTGTCCCTGAACGCAAGCCTCTGAAAGACAACCTCCTTCCTGTTTCAGGGGCTTCCCGTGGGGCTGAGCCCACACCCTGAGGGCTGTCTTCTCCCCCTCCACAGATCAGGCCTCTGAGCAAAGTTCTCTCCCTTAGAAAAGCCTTCTCTGAGTCCCCTCCCATTTCCTCTTGTCCTATAGAGTTAGCTAGTTGTCTGGACACATAAAAAGAATTCACAGAAAAAGGTTATCAAACTACTTTCTATTTTCTCAAGTTGCTGAGTATTGAGCCCAAGTCCAGGCCAGTGTTCTACCATGAGCTACACTCCCGACTCCATGGTATTTACTAATTTGATTAACCTCCGCCAACTCCCAGAAGGCAGACCATTAGGGTAATCTATTTCGTTTACACCACGGTTGGTGCTTAGCAGGGAGGTATTAAATACTTCATAACTGAACGAATTGATTTCTGCAAGGACTGGCCGCCCGGAAGTCCAGGACGCAAAGGCCTGGGGCTCTTTGTATTATTGTTTCGCTGCATCTCTCATCCGCTTGCCGCTGTGCAGCGGCCAGACCTCAGTTTCCCCACCCGGGCCGCGCAGGCAGCAGGCCTGAGAAGTCTAGAGTTCTCGCGGGGACTGGAGCGCAGAGAGGGAAGCGAACGACGAGCCCGCCGGGCAGGCAACCGCCCGGCCCCGGCCTCCGGTAGCCGCCGCTCGGGGTCCGCGCACGCGCACGCGCACGCGCACGCGCCCTGCCCCTCCCCCGCCCTCCCCTCCCCGCGCGCAGCAGACCCGGCGCGCGCCGGCGCGGGAGGCGGGGGTTGGGGGCGGCGGACGCCGAGGGCGAGGGGCGGGCCCGGCCCGGCTCTGCCCGGCCGCCCGCGCGTGGCTCCCGGAGTCCCCGGGCCCGGCCCGGCGGCTGCTCTAGCTCGAGGAGCTCGGTGGCGCCCGTGAGCCGCGCCGCAGCCATGGCTCTGGTGACCCTGCAGCGCTCGCCGACGCCCAGTGCCGCCTCCTCCTCGGCCAGCAACAGCGAGGTGAGCCGCGGGCCCTTGGCCGGGCCTGGGCCGCGCGCGCAGAGCCTCCGACCCCGCCTCGCCAGGGACCGAGCAGCCGGCCCGGGGGGACAGTGGGGTCCCGCGGCTGGGGCCGGCCGTGTGGGGACCCAGCGTGCGACTGGGGCTCTCTATGGGTGATGGGGCGCGAGTCGCTGGTTCCAAGATCTGCCACCCTGTGGCTGAAGGGAGGGAAGACCCTCTTCCTGGGTCTCCTTGTCGTGTGTCTGTCAGACTGTATGTGACTTTGGGCCATGGATGTGACTTGTCCACCGGGGACTGTGCCTGGATGATGCTGTGTGAGTGAGGCCATGAGGCCACTCATGGGGAGGGCGATGACCCTGCAAAGGTGTGATTGTTTCCCTATCTGCTACCGTCCTGTGGACTTCTGGCTGTAGATGTGTCTGTGCTCTTTGCGTGTCACTGACCCTGTGTGACAGCGACTGAGGATGTCATGGGCTCTGTGTGACTTGTCATGCCCCTGTGCCTCTGAGACTGAATGTTTGCTTTTCATCCTGTCATTCTGGGCTGTGTGTTAATGTGTGACTGAGCCCTGGGTTTAGGGTGTGTTGGTTGCATTTTGCTGGGTCTCTGCAGCTGGGGCCCATGTTTACCTGGGTCCTTGCTGGGGGGCTGATAAAGCTAATGATCTCCAAGTGGACAGAATGGGGCCGGCCTGCCCTAGACTGGGACCTCTTTGGCCTCTGAGCAAGTCCCTGTGCAGCTGCAGAGCCAGCCCTCTTGGCCTGCACTTTTTTACCCTCCCTTAAAGGCCTCTGGTCTAAATTCCTATCCATGGCAAGGCTGAGTTTGTCCTGAAGAAGGAGCAGCTGGAGGAGGAGCCCCTTACTCAGTTTAGAGACTTCCCAGGAAGTTGCTAGCCAGCATCAAGTCTGTGTGCCAGCTCTCAGCGGGAGAAGTTGACTGATACAGGGGATGGCTTGTGTGTGTCTGTGAGACAGAGAAGAGAACTTGAATTTGGCTTAAATGCTGTCTCCCAGCACTGTTGCTTTTCAGCCTTGTTTTGCTGAGATTGGCAGGAACATTTGCAGAGTGGCTGTGAAGTCGAACCTCCTCGGCCCCCTCCTCTCAGAGGAGAGGCTGTTAATGAGACAGAAGGTTCTAGTGTCTCCCCTCTGTGCACTGATTAGAGGCAAAAGAACACTGGGGGCTGATTGCTGCAACTGAGAAGTTATGTTGTGGGAACATTTGTCCTTCCCAGAGGAGATCTGTTCTTCTACATCATTCCTGTGACTTCTCTGTGGCATTTTACAAAGTACTGTACTTTCATGCACTTAATCGCGGATCATTTCCACAAACACTGTGAAGTGAGGGAAGAGCTTGGTTTCTGGGAGAGTTTGCACAGAGCCTTTCAGCCTCAAAAGAGCCTCCGTCAGCCTTTGATTCCTAAAGCCTACCTGATCTAGGCCTTAGACACATCTTTAAAGTTTTATTTTTTAGCTGGGTACAGGGGTGCATGACTGCAATCCCAGCTACTCAGGAGGCCCAAGCATGGGGATTGCAAATTTGAGAACCAGTCTGGGCCGCTGAATAAGATCTTGTCTTAAGTGTAAAAGGGAGGGGGTGTAGGGGCATAGTACAGCATTCCCTGGACTTAGTCTCCTTTGCCACCAGAACAAAAAGGAAAGAGAAAACATTTTTAGTTGAGATATAATTCACATAGCATAAATTCACTGTTTTAAAGTATACAGTTCGGTGGGTTTTAGTATATTCATAAGATCATGCAACCATCACCACTACCTAATTCCAGAACATTTTGTCATGCCACAAAGTAACTCCATACCACAAAGAGACTCCTTAACTATCACTCGAAGCCTCCCTGTACGCATTCTCCCCTATCCTGGGCAACCACTAATCTTTCTCTCTGTACAAATTTGCTTATTCTGGAAAGTTTATATAAATAGAATCATGCAATATGTGGCCTTTTGTGTCTAGCCTCTTTCACTCAGCATAATGTTGTAGATGCCTTAGCCCTTCATTTATCTTTATGACTGAATAATATTCCATCTACTGCATGAAAGTGTCACATTTGTCTCACATTTGTCTAATCTCCACCAACACATTTAAAATTGTTATAAAAAGCATTATTTTTTACCAAGTGCTGATGACCCAGTCAGCAGAGTAAAACTCAGCCAGCTTTGATTTGACTTCGGTACATGCAGCATTTTGTTGTCCAGTGAGAGAGCAGGATATCAATGTTTCTGGGAAGACGAGGCTGTCTTTCACAAGTGCTGAGACCCAAAACGAATGAAGAGAGCAGGTCTGCATGGAGCCGGGAGTCCTGAGTCCAGGCGGGCTGTACTTCTGGGCCACGCTTTCTGCAGTTGTCTCCTGTCTGTTCGCCTCAGCCCATCTGAAGGACTGGATTACCTCTTAAGGATGTTCTTTGGCATCTGTGACGCCGTTGGGATAACTGACCTCACATTACCTTTCCTTGGAGAACCTCAGAGAGTGACTGAGAATTAAATGGTTATGAAGTCTGTACCCCCAAATCGTTTCACACTCATCAAAATGCAACTCCTTGGATGAGTCAGAGACACACCAGCGGTTTCCTGACACAGCCAGGCTGGCTGCGTGGCGTGGGAAACCAAGGGAAATCACAGCCCTCAGCCCAAAAGCAACTCTCTCCTCTGTTTCTTGCTTTTCAAGCTTTAATTATCTCATGTGTGTCATTTTGCTGTTAACCTTATCTCAACTCCTTTATGAGAACAGACAGAGCCCGGGAAAAGATAAGCCAACATTTTTCAGGAGTGGATTGGAACATTGTTATTTTTGACAGTTGTTCAAAGTGACTAATTTCATAGGCAGATCTCCAGGCACTTTTTGGGTTGGACCAGTGTTTCTCAACCTTGGCACTGTTGGGGCCAGAGCATTCTCTGTTGTGGGGGGCTGACCTGCACATTGTGTGATGTGTGATGCTTACCCCACTGTGGCCTCCACCCAGGAGATGCAGGTAGTGCCCTTCAAAACAGTGCCTGCAGACCGGAATGCTGTCCACTGGTGAGAGAACTTGCCCCTGGTGCAGCTCCACAGGGTGAGAAGCCACAATCTCTTCGCTTTTTTTTTTTTTTTTTTTTTTTTTTTTTTTTGGTACTGGGATCGAACTCACTACCTTGCACTTGTCAGACAAGTGCTTATGCCACTGAGCTAAATCCCTGGCCCTCTTGCTGCTATTTTTGTTTTAGAACACTGGGGTTCAGACCCAAGGCTGGGGATCAGATAAGCTAACTGCTAGGAGAGTGCTTCTGCCACTGAGCTATAATATACCCCCAGCTCCTGTTGTGTTTTGTTTGAGCAAGAAAGCGCATGGCCCTGAGATTACTAAACCTTCCTTGGTTTTTCCACCTTACCTTCATGGGGTGTAGGGAGCATGAGCATGAATTCATTGGCCCCAATGTACGCCTCTGCATAATTCCATTACAGACATTATCATAATTATCGTAATACAATTATAATACATTAGCATAATACAATTTAGGGACTCTGGGGCCTGCTCATATACTGGTTGGTTCTTGCTGGATAGTGCCACCTCCTTTGCTGCTCCCCACATTACTCTGACCCCTCTCCATGCTGCCCTTGACTTCTGCCTCCTCTCAGTCCTCTGTCAGCCTTGCAGTTCCTGGCCATCACACCTCTCCAGGGTTTCCTTTGCCTCTCAATGAGTGCTTTTGTCTACGGTAAAAAACATGCCAAGTCCTTGTGGTGCAGAGTTGTTTTCTAATCATTTTCAGTTTTGTGTTGAAAAAGGACAGAAAAAAAAGATTGATTTGAGCTTAAGGAGAAGTTACTTTTGGAGTTCAGCTTTTTGGCCTTTTAGCTTTTAGAAAATATCTTGTTCTTTCATTGGTACAGATAAGCTGACAGCCTAGAACATTTCATATTAAACATTTAAGACTTTATGCGAACCACCAAAAAGTTTTGAAGACCCACAGGCAGCCTAATTCCTGGCTGCCTTCCATGGTGACAGGCTTGCCTGGAGTGGGTTTTTAAAATGGTGCCCCTCACTCAGCAAGGCCCTACTTGACAGAGGAAATGGATTCTCTTCCAACATAGCCCCTTCCTTTTAGCAGCAAAAAAGAGGATAAGATCCAGAACAAGCCTGAAAAGTTGAGAGCTAAAGGAATGTGTTGGGCAACAGTGCCAAATAGGAAATATTCAGTTAGCAGGACTCAGCCCACCAGACCGTGGCAGGAATGTGCATAAACATTTGGACACCCGAAAATTCCTCGGTGGAAATTACTCAAAGGAACAGCAGGTCAGGTTGCAAGGAAAGGGCAGGGCTATTTAGAAGGAGCCAGGTTTCCTGGACATCTTTATCTTTTCCTGACACCAGGGCAGAGACTGGGAGACTGCTGTCTGAGGCGTGGTGATAGCCAGCCGTATCTGTGGTGTGACATTCTCTTTCTCTCTCTGCAGTTGGAGGCTGGCAGTGATGAGGATCGAAAGGTAAACCTCAGGTGAGCAGACTTCATTTTGTTTTTAAATCTTTCTTCCAAACAAGTAAGGGATACTTTTATTCCTTTCTCAAAGGGAAAACCCTCAGAAAGAATACCTTTTTTTTTTTTTTTTTAGTGCTTTCAAAATTATACATAAAGTGTGTGCAAGAATAGTGCCTTAAAAGTTACATGTTGAGGTATGGCTGTCCACACTTATAATTCAAGGTACTTAGGAAGCAGGAGGGTCATGAATTTGAGGTTAGCCTGGGTAACACAGGGAGATCTTGTAGATCTTGTAGATCAAAGTAGAAAGCATTGAATGTGTGGCACAGTTGTAGAGTGCTTGCCTAGCGTGGCCAAGGCCCTGGGTTCCATTCCCAGCACCAAAGCAGAAAACAGAAAAGAAAAGGAAAAAAATCTGTAAGACATACTCCTCAATTACTGTGTTTACTGGTGAACAGCAACAATATTTTTTGTTTTTCTTTATCAAAAATTAAGACTTTCCTTTTGTTTGAGTTTCTTGTTAGTTTCCAGAAGATTGCGCATTTCATTATGTAACATATTCCTTTGTGCCAAGGAGCCAATCTTGAAAGTCTGACCTCAGAATGGAAAAAAGTAAACAAACTTCAGGGATATTGTCATTTAAAAACAAATGTCTGTTTTATCGCCTGAGGAGGAGGAACATTAATTGGAAGAGGAGGTAGGTATTCAAAAATTGGGGTCAGCCATTCATTACCAAGAGCAGGATGTTTTGGTTAAATTCTCTTGCAGAAGAGGTAGAAATATGCTTAGCCTTGCTTTGACATTCTCACATGTTGGAGCAAAGGAAGGGAAACTTCACTTTGATTGGGGCACACATTTGGGGAAATACTAGCTTGCGAAAATCAAAGGCGTGCCTTTTGCAATTACTAGATCTTTCTTTGTAATGTCAGGCTCAGGACAAAGGACAAATTGGCTGTTTCACCCTGCGGTTTTGGGTTGGTCAGAGCCCAGGTCAGGGTTCCCAGGCTAGAAACAGCTGGACTCCAAGTGGGGGCAGTAAAGGGCCACAGTGTCACTCAGCTTCTCTGGGTGGAGGAGGGAGTGGGGGAAGAGTGACTGGCTGCTGGCCCCCCAGCCGGTGTAGCTGCCTGCTCCCACCTCCCCGCAGGCCCCTGCAGCACCTTCCTGGGGTCTGCGTCCCTTCCATCCTCCCCTCTCCCTTTTTCTGCAGGCTGTTGTCTAGGACAAAACTTTGGGCTCTGTCACTTAGACTGTCTTTGGCGGTGGGGGAGAGAAATTGGTATTTTTTTTTTTGTTGATTTGCAGTTAAGAATTTGTAAACCGCAAGGACATGAAAATGAGCCTGTGGGCCAGGTGTGGTGGTGAAAGCCTGTAATCCCAGGCAGGAGGATCTGCTCCTAGTTCGTAGGCCAACCTGGCCTACAGAAGTAGTTCAAGGCCAGCCTGTACTGCATAGCGAAACCCTGCCTCAAAAAGACCTAAATAGATAAATAAATAATTTAAATTTAAAGAGAGAAAATGAATATATGGCCCTGTCTCATTCATAAAATTCTCCTTTTTCCATCTGGTTTGGAGTCAGAGGGGACCTCACAAAAGAAAGAGAAGTAATGTTACACAGCAGCTCTGTGTGTTGCAGTGTTTGTGCCTTAAAACAGCACTAGCGTCTTCCCCATCTCCAGGTGAGGAATTTGAGGGCTGGGATGGGTGTGGGAAACACTGTGTTCCGGGCCTCAGTTTTGAGTGCTGTGCCACATTTCTTGAAACAGTTTAGTTACCTGTGGAATCAGCTGTGTCAGACTTGCAGGTGAGGGACCGGCGGGGGTCTGAAGAGAGCCGGGGCCAGAACTGCGGCTTCCTGCCAACTCCTGGCATCTGTCACTCCAGCCACGGCGAGTCCTTCTTTGCTGCTGTACTGGGACACCCTGTGTGGATGCAGGGAACTGGGCTGGCTGGCAGTGCTGGCTTCGGAGCTTGTCCCCTCTGTCTCTAAGTCCCTCTTCCCTGGCCTTAACATTCACACTCCTTTCTAAGGCAAAGGATAGCATCCTGCTTTCTAACCCTGCGAGCCAAACAGGAAAGTTCTCCTGTCCTGATTTAACCTTTGACTAAAGCTCATTCACATCTGCATGTTCATTTGCATTTACAGAGGCCTTTTTCCTTCAGGCCTCTCCTAGAGTGGGGGTGGGGGGAACGGGACTGTGGCTAAGTTTTTTGGGGAAGGTGAGGGATAAAGGGAGATTCCTCTTTACTTAGAATTGATCCTAAAGATAAACTTATTATTCAGTTTGTAAGGCTTGCCGGTGGGGAGAAGTAGGGACAGAAACTCCAGTTGCAGGGCTCCCCTTTTTGTTTCTTATACTACTTATCCTTAGTTACAGCTGGCCCTCTGGAGCTCTAGTTCTGCATCCTTCCACTGAGAACTGAAAATAGTTGAAAAAATTTCCAGAACATATTACACTGTTTCTGACATGTTCCATATAGTTAGGCCTAGAATGGTTGCATCTGCCCTGAACATGTATGGACTTTGTTTTTCTCATTATGCTCTAATAGTACAACATAGCAATTTATGTAACATTTACATTGCATGAGGGACTGTAAGTAATTGGGAGATGATACGGAAGTATACAAGAGGCTGTGACTAGCCTCTATGCAAATACTATACGATTTTCTACCTGGGACTTGAGCATGTGTAGTTTGGCACTCACAGGGGGTGCAGGAACTCACTGCCATGATGACTGCGGGATGACTGTAACTGCTTCACCTTTCAGGACATCAGGAGGTCAGATTGGCTCCATCACACACGGCACAGGGCCGCATCCCTTGGGCTGGGTCTTCAGTGTGTCACATGTCCACTTCTTGGTCTTCTTGGTGGTGTTGTCATTCTGGCTCCCCTCCGCTCCCTTTACATTGTTGGGCCATCCACTGATCCATCCCTGTACCCTCTCGGTCCTCTGTGCTTCTCCCGCCTGGCCCCTGGCATCTTCTGTGCATTCTACACACCTCTTCACCGCCATACGTACTGTTCTCAGTCCTGAAAGATCATTCCCTGCTCTGTGGCTGCCCTCTCCCTAAGCCAGTGCCTTTTTTTCATGGACTACATTCCCCATGGCCTCTTCAGAGTCTCCAACCCCACACATGTGTGAGTTTCCTCTCATCAGGGGGCAGATCAACTTCCGATTGTCTGTGACAGAGGCTGCCCACACCTCCTCACATTGCAGATACGTGTGCTTTGGCTACATATCTAACTGCTGGTGCTTCTCTTAGTGATGGGTCTTAGTTCTCTACCTGCGCATAGCATTTTGACATTTGAATGAAATGGATTTTTGAACGCTGACATAATTAAGAAACATGAGAAACAGCAAGGTGCAGGGTTGGGTTAAGAGGCAGGCAGGTGTTGGGCATCTGGCTTCAATACTGGGAGCCAAGTTCTTGTACCTCTTCTGGGGCTCATCCGTGAAGCATATAATCTTACCGCCCAGGGTCCTAAATAGTCCCTGTGAAGCCGTTTGCATGGAAGAAGATGTGGGTGACTTTACTTGCTACATTCGGTCTCGGTTTCTTGCTGAGGTGTTGCTCACAGGCAGTGGTAGTTCCAGCATAGAAGAATAAGCTGACTGACTCCCCGCACTGCTGCCTGAGCCAGAGAGGGCCACCACTGTGTATGCTGTGACCAGGAGCAGCCTGTCCTGCAGCCAGCTACATTCCCATATGATGCAAGTCAGAGTGTGCATGGTGAGGAATCCATGTTGTGATTCTGACAGCTTCTCTGGGCGTCTTTCGGGAAGTGTCTCAGGAACTGATACCTCACGCCCAGAATGAAAGATGACTGGTGCCGGCAGTAGAAATCCAGCCTTTGCACTCCATTCCCTACTTTTCCGCATGTGCAGACGCCTGCCGGCCTCTCTCGGTGCCCTTCTGGAAGTGGCACTGTTCAGACTGTGGGAACTGGTAAGCAGACGGCCTGCTGGCAGAGGCCCCTGGCTTCCTCACTGTCCTGGGAGCCTGTTTCGCCTGGCATGAGACATAAGTGGTTGTGCGCCAGGCAGGGTGCCCAGGAGGTGATGTGGCTGTGTTGTCCCCGGAGTGTGGATCAGGAGTAAAAAAAAAAATTTTTTTTCTTTTGCTTTAATCTAGTGTTTCCAAGTCAAGAACATGAAAATATGGATTAGAATGCTTTGATTTTGTTCTTTTCAATCTGCCCAAGCAAGCATTTAAGCCAGCAGCAGGATTTTGTCTTGTTTTATTTGGTTTCGCTGACAAACTGTGAACTCCCTTGCATCGTTCTCTGCCTTTCTTCTTCCCCTGCTGGCCTTCACCTGCAGGCCAGGGTACTAACTGTCCTGTGGCCTTTGGGAATGTGGTGTGTCTTCTCTCCCTGGCTTATCGTGTCGGGGTAGGTGAGGGCTGACACATCTCCTGCTGCAGACTGTATTTTTCTGTCTTTGTTGGGTACCCTGTTTGTGCACCTCTCCCCACTCAGGTTCCTGTCTGCCTCGTATGGTTTATTTTAGCTTGGTTTTCCTAGACTCTGTTGCTATCGTGGCAGATCAGCCCTGCCAAAAGGTGTCACACACTGTGTCTAGGTTCTGTGCCCTGTGCTGGAGGTAGACACGTGTAGATACATGTAGTCACTGTGTCACTCATCTACTGCTGTGTTAGGCCTTAGCGCAAATGTAGCAGTTAAAACTGTTACAACTGGAGCAGGAGTATGGTGTAGTTCAGTGGTAGAGTGCTTGCCTAACGTACAAGGCCTGGAGTTCCAGCCCCCGAATCATAAAACAAAAAACAGCAGTACATATTTGTCATCTTGAGGTCACTGTGGGTCAGGAATCTAGATGGGACTTAGCTGATCCTTTGCTGGGGTCTCACAAGGCTTCAGTCAAGTTGCTGGTCACACTAGGGTCTCTTCTGCAGCTTGAGGACCTTCCACCGTCGTGTGCTTTTTGGCCAAATTCATTTTCTTGCAGCCGAGGAAGTCATGGTGGCTTATCTCTTCAAGGCAAATAGGAGGTCCTGCTCCTAGAGTCTCACAAGAGATGTGTGATTGCCAAGATGACTGTCCCACCACCTTTGTCATCCAGCTCAGCTTCCTGAAGGCAACCATGATCCCATCTTGTTCTCTGATCCTGCCCACACTGAAGGACAGGATACCCACCCTCGGAGGATTCTGCCTGCTAGGGAGTCTATGTGTTCTTGGGATGCCCAGTCTAATATGGAGAAGATACACATAAAAAAGTAGATTTCCAGGGTCACAGGTGTCCCGGGGACATGGTACAGGCACAGTAAGGGGTGCTCAGTACACTTGGAAGAGGAACATGGAGAGTGGCCACCGTTGACCACCATGCTGGCAGACACTGTGTCCTCTGTGCTCAGCAGCCACCTGCTTGCTCAGACTTTCAGGCCTGGCTTTTCTTGGATCTGCCTCACCTTGAATGTGTTAGTCTCTGAGATTACCACTTTCATGGACCTTCCCATTTATGTTTCAATGAGTTTTGGGCTTAGGAAGGAATTGGCCTGGATTTGCTTCTGCATCTGTTCTTTGTCACCTTGCTGGAATTTTATGTGACCATAACTAGCCTTCAGTTTTAACAGAGCCAAGTAACATTCAGCTTATAAGGTTGCTGTCAGAATTAAATGCGATAGTGACATCACAGGCCTTGAACAAATGCTGCCTTCCCGTTCTTCCTTCAGGGCACAGCTTCCATGTAGAGGGATTCATGATTTTTCTAACCACCTCCACATGGGCATTTCTCTCTCCTCAGTGTTTCCTTGGAACTTGCTTTGTAGTATAATTACTAAGTACATAAATGTTCCCCAACAACAGGACTAAGCTGTGTGATTTGTGAAGCCCATGGCAAAATGAATAGTATAGAGCCCCTTGTTAAAATTAGAGTTTCAGTGGACATGGTGGTACATGCCTTTAACCCCAGCATTCTGGAAAGCTGAGATTGGAGGACTGCAAATTGGAGCCCAATCTGAGCAGTTTAGCAGATTAATGAAACCTGTCTCAAAAATTTAAAAAGGGCTGAGGGTATAGCCCAGTGCAGAGGCCATGGGTTTAATCCCCAAGGCTGCAGAAGCAATAGACAAAATTAAGAATTTCAATATGCCAGCAACAGAGCATTAAACCCAGCACAGAGTACTAATGAGCACAGAGCCTTGAGCAGGAAGCCAGCCCTCCCAGCAGGTTGTGAGCTCCCTAAGGGCAGTATCGCCCTCATCTTTAGTCTTACAGTGCCTCACAGGCACTGGATGGGCCCCGGAGGTCGCCAAGGTCCAATTTTCTGTATGTTACTTGGTGTAGATCAACTAAAAGCAGTCATGGACTACATACAGAAAACAAAGGACAGAATGCTTTTTCTGCCATTTTCCCTGCAGTTTAGTGATGGAGGTGCGCATAGATGTCTCAGTACCCCTTTTCCCTAATCCGTTTACTGAGAAGTCATCTATTAACAGTTCATTGAACTCCTACCATGTTTCAAGCCCTTTCTAGCAGCTGGGATTATAGCAGTGAGCGTAAACTCCTGCCCCTGTCAGAACGAGGCTGGTATTCTGCTAGGGAGACAGGACAGGAGGATAAACAAGCCCAGGAAGGGTAGGTGTGCGCTTGCTAAGGAGAAACAATAAAGCAGGGATGGAGGCGGTGAATGTCAGTACTTGCTGCATGCTCACCCTTGCT